ACCTTAAGGTTCGCAGCCCAATTCGTAACCACTACGCTACCAGAGCTCCTTATGACAAAGTATGGATAGCATTGCAAATAATGGGTATTGCAGAACACTTCATTTGTGCTCGTGAGAAACCTATACAAAGACCAAGAAGCAGGGTACTTAATGGTTTCAAATCAGGAAAGGTGCATGCCACAGTTGTATCCTTTCACCATAATTATTGTGAAAAGTATGCAGAGCAAATAATTCAAGAAGCGGGATTATATTAAGAAGAATGTGGCATCAGTATTGAAGGGAGACTCAATCCTGATATGCAGATTAAACAACCTTGCTTGCTGGAACTGAAGGGGACTTGAAATACCAAGTGATGCAGATCAGAGACCCTCAGTATGGATTACACCACAATGTAAAGAAAACAGAAGTCCTCACCACTGAACCAATAAGCAACATCATGATTAATAGAAAAAAAGATGGAAGTTGTCAAAGACGTCATTTTGCTGGGAGCTACAATCAATATTCATGGAAGCAGCAGTCAGGAAATTAAATGACATATTGCATTAGGTAAATTTGCTGCCAGTAGACTAATTTACAAAGATGTCATTTTGAGGACCAAGGTGTGTCTGACTGAAGCCCAACAGTCAGACTTTGGAGAAATTATGTTGTTAAAATGTAGAGACTGAGAAATGACTGAATATAAATTTATCAGGAAATTCATGGTGGTGGTTATGTGCCGTCAGTCGGTTCTGACTCCCAGTGACCCTGTATAGCGTATCCGAGGCTGCAAATATTTACAGGAGCAGAAGGCCTCATCTTTCTCCTAAGAAGTGGCTGGTGGGCTCCAGCTGCCAACCTCGTAGGGATGGTAAAGGACCACACATTGTTTCATTCTGGTGTGCCTAGAGTCACTATGAGTCAGAACCAACCTGACAGCATCTAATAATAGCATTTAAAACATGCAATCCTAACCTAGAAGACTCATTTTCCATCAGTCTATCCAACTGACTAAGTGTAGTGACTGGTAAATATGGTAATGCCTCTCCTATCCAGAGGACAAGATATATAAACACCTAAACTACACACTTGTGAAGTGCTTCAGAATACTACTCCTGGTTTCTTCAGAATTCACAAAACCTGACATTCCTGCCCTGCCTACTGAGAAGAGGTGGTTAAACCTGGCTTACAAGTGAAAATGGTTCACAAAAACCAGGCATTCGGGTGGCAAAACTTGTACTTGAGCACTGTGATTACTTAAGCCTCCTTAAGATTCACAAACCAATAATCAAGACTTGAAACAAAGCAAAATTGAAAATGCATTTAAAGAACTCTTTAGGCCTATGAAAAAGCCATAGTCAATACTCGAAGTTGTTCATAGTAATGGTAAATAGGAGAAGGTGACTTTCACCAGTCTATAGAGTACAAAAACCAAGGATAACTCCAGTGAAGGAAAATGGTCTCCAAAGGATACTGATAAGTACACACACTAATTAGTTCTTCTGGCCAGTACAGAATCCATTACCAACAAAGCAGCAAATCATTTTTCCAATATCTATGAGCCATTAAAATAGTGACAATCAGCAACTGCTAACATAATGAGATCTGGTTTCCACACAGAATACCAACACACTCAACTTATTTTAAAACTACAGCACAACAATCATTCCATTTCAGGAATCCAGGTGATGGACTACACATGTATTCCTAGGCCCAAACACATCTTTTTATACTCCCCTACAATTTAAAGGAGCAGTTACATGCAAATAGAAGTCATGCCCTCTCAAAGTTTTATCAGTGTGTAGACTCATGAATACCAAACAACACATTATAAATAAAAGAGGCTGTGTGAAAAAATAAAAGAAGTTAGAACTCAGATGTGAACTGTAAGTCACTCATCTAGGCAGCCAGCAGAGCAGGAACTGAGTATGCACCACTCTCACAAAACTAAAAGACCTTTAAAAAGTTAAAATCATTGAAAAGGAAGGAAGATGAATGTTTCGCTGGTGTATTTCTTTAAACATATAGTGCCTCTGTTCTTACCCTGTTTTTCTACCAACCACTTCTATCTCTTGCCCTCAGTCTGTAAAATGAAGTTTTAGATCAGTCACAAGCACAAATTATGTTTTGTTCACAAGACTAGGATCTTTTGCTTAGAATGGTAGTATATAAATGCAAAAGGGCTTTAAAGTTTGTGGAAACATGAAATTAACAGCTAATGAAAATTTTCAATGAGTTTTTTAAAGCCCCCTCCTAAGAATGGATGGGCATACGAACACAAACACCTAAAAGATTAAAAATAGTTTCTCTGATAGATGTTTCTTATCTCTCCAAAGTTCAAACATACCACAACTTTCTTCATTGTTATAGTCATATAGAGAGAATCTAAGAACATCAGAAGTAGATTTGCAATTTTTCGAACACAGAACAACAAATAGGGTGTATCCCTAGGGTACAAAGCTGTGACCAAACTATGTTCACTAAAAACTGTCTCAAGTTTTTAGTGATGGGAATAGGATAATCCTTCTATCTCTAAACTTAACAACTTACATAATATAAACAAACCGGCTCTAAAACTTTCAGCATATGGTACTCACATTCACATACTCCCTGTAGTACTACTAGAAAATACTTCTGATACGCTTAGAATCACACAACAGTCGAACGCTAAGTTACTTTCTTTTTTTTTCACAACATGTTTATTTTTCCAAATTTTCCTTTCAAACCACAGAAGCAGAGATGGCATTAAAACATCCCCGATTGGCCAAAAAGAAAAAACAATGGAAAAGACAATATATGTAACTAAACTCAAGATCTCCATATTACATATTATATTTTCATACACATACATAAAAACAGTACTCAGGCTCTACAGATTCTCTGTCCACAGGAGCAAATGAGAAACATATTTATTGCATCTCTTTCTGAATATAATCTGTGTTTTATGACATATTTTATAGTAAAAAGCAGCATACCACAATTTCCCCAAAGCGCTGGAAGATGTTGCGAAGGTCATGATAAGTAGTGGTTTTTTCAAGGTTGCCAATAAAGAGTGTTCTTGTTGCTTTAGGGTGAAATTCATCTATCCTTTCATCTAAGGGGCGAAATTCATTCTCACTTTCTGTTTCTGGAAGTGGGATGGAGTAGAATAAGAAGAAAAGAGAACATTTTAGTGTGTCATGGGGGAAATCTACCATTTAAGAAACTAAATCTCTGAAATAACAGGTTTGAATACCCACACAAACTGTTAAATTATAAATACCTTCAGAAGTAGCTGATCCTTGTTTTAAAAAAAAAAAAAATTTTTTTTCAGAGGAATACAGAGGCTAAGAGAACGTGTCAAAAAAACCAAACAAACAGCAATTTGAAGGTGAATAAGACTTAGATCTATAAAGTAGAAAAGTGGACTAAATTTCAACCTGCTTAGTTGATTTATTTTAAAAATAATCACTGAATACATTTTTAAACCTCCACAAAAATGGTATGGTGCTGTGAGATACAGCAAGGCCAGTTTGAACCACAAGGTCGGTAGTTCAAACTCACCAGTATACACTATACAGGAGTCACTATGAGTTGGAACTGACTCGAAAGCACTTAACAACAACAAACAAAGATGGTAATAATTTGGGCTTAATTTTAGATTCCAAAATTAAGTAGGAGGTTCTCAATATAAAACTATAATCTGAAATCACATACAACTCAACTGAAAATAGTTCATCACATTACTTAACTTCATTTACTTTGCAAAATTTTAACACTTAATCTGTGTTTTGGTGCTACATGGCCCCCAGTGTTGTTAAGTGTCATGGAGTCGGTTCTGACTCATAGCGACCCTGTACAGGGTTTCTAAGGCTGTAAATCTTTACGGGAGCAGAAAGCCTCCTCTTTCTCCTTTCTCCTGTGGAACAGCTGGTAGTTTCAAACTGCTAACCCTGAGGTTCACAGCCCGATTCGTAACCACTACACCACCAGAGCTCCTTACATGACCTCCAATAAAAAACAGACAAAGTGGTTGAATGGCTCTTAAGGTTTCTATATTTTATGATCAAATGCCATGACTTACTTTCCAATTCATTCATAGATTTTCTCTAAAACTTGATTAACTTGGTCTAGGCAGGACATGCAAAGTTTTGTTGATAATAATGATAACGTAAGCTATATATTCTCTTTTTTTTCCCCCAAATATAAAGCAAAAGCTGTCCAAAAAATTTTATCATTCACTCAATGTTACTGAAAAATGGTGTTTAGTGCCAGCCACTGAGCATATCCGATTAAGACTTAACTTCAGAGCTGTTGAATAAACTGTCAGACCACATCTCGCTTCTAATTCCAGTTTGACAGCTCTAATGATACCAGTTTCATCAAAGAATAAATGCTTTCAAAAGCCAAGTAGATCCAGGGATCATACACCTGTCTCCACATCATCATTCATCTCACTAGAGGGTTATGGGTATATCTCATTTTAAGCTTCATCAGTTCCTCTTGAAACTACCTGATACAGGGAAGGCATTTAGGAATCACTTATAAAAAAGGGAAAAAAGAAAAAAATATTCCAGACACACTTTGAGGGTGATAACAAAAACAACAATCCAACAGGCAGAATCAGAAATGTAAAGCATGATTTATAACCATTAAAATCATAATGACTTCATTTGCATTCAGTAGCTCAGCAAATAATAAAATTGGAAATCCACTTTAGCAAAGGAAAAAGAATATGTTTTCCATATATAATCTACCTGATTTTGTCATCTGCTTAACCAGTCTAAATCTTAATGCCTACACAACTTTGTGTTAAAAAAAAAAAATAGTTTTCCTGCAATTTTATGTTTAGGTAATTAACAAAGTACAATCTTAGAATGTCAAAGTTGGGTTTCCTGGATTTACATATAATTCCAAAAGGTCCTTGGCCTAAGCAATCTGTTACAGTACATTTCAACAGAATGCATTTATAACAGCCACCTGATAGCATAATTCCAACCAAATCTCCATACACATATTCCCATGAATTGATATCCTAATGTCATTTTGCAGTCCTGGAGTAGATAAAAGCACTATTCTGCTAACCACAAGGTCAGTGGTTTAAACCCATCAGCTGCTCCTTGGAAATCCTATACAGGGTCTCTCTGAATCGGAACCGATTTGACGGCACTTCACAACAACAATGTTGTTAAGTCTGAGAAACAATATTTCAGCTTTCCTATGCTTGAATGCTCTGTATGATAAGCACTGGACTTCAAACCACAAAATCAGCAGTTGGAGTCCACCACCTACTCTGCAGAAGAAAGATGAGTCCTTCTGCTACTGCAAACATTTACAGCCTCAGAAACCCTATACAGGGTCACTATGAGTTGTTAAGTGTTGTTGGCACTTAACAACAACAGTAACACATACGTGAATGCTGTAGGATAAGCACTGGACTGCTAACCACAAGGCTGGCAGCGCAAACCCACCAGCTGCTCCATGGGAGAAAGATGAGGTTTTCTAATCCCAGACAGATTTACAGCCTCAGAAACCCTACACAGGGGTCACTATGAGTCAAAAATGACTCAATGGCAGTGAGAGTTTTTATATTTGAAGCAACCAAGCATCTCAAATTCTTTACTGGCAGGTGGTTAACTAACTGGGTAAAATGTTTTTCACAGTAAAAAACTCACACTAGTTTCACTCACTTGGAGAACAGAGGATCAACTACTGAATGCTCCTGGGTCAAACTCTCATTACTTAATAACTTATAAAAGTATGTGTAGATTATATGACATTTTAAGTATCACAAAATGCCAGTTCTGATTTGATTCCATTTAAAAAAAAAAAAAAATCATTCAGTTGCTCCTACCCTAATATAATTTAGGATAGTACATCCCAAACTTAAGGAATCTTAAAGTATGGCCTCTTTTCTCTCTGAAAAGATAATACTCCTTTGAAGTTCCATGTTTTGTCATAAAATTATGCATTTTGTACTCTTCGGGCTAATAACTCCATGCCTATTTAACATCCAATAAATAGTAAAATGTCCTCTTGAAATTCTCACTGGGTCCCACCTATAAGCCTTAGTCCTGCTTCTCTGTTACTACCTTTCAAAGGTCAAAGATCCAAACTATGCTGGGCAGAAAAGAAGTAAAAACTCATCTAATCAGTTTCTCAAATTATTAACAACAAATAAGTAGTTTGCTTTCTAATTCCGAATAATTTCATTGTCATTCTCCTAAGAACTATCTTCTCATCTCCATTAATTAGATACTTTGGGGAAGGCTGGATTCAGCAAAGGCCTACTACCCAGTCTTTAAAGTTAGTATTTCTCCCTTGTAAAAATAAAGCAATCTTTACTCAAAGTTGAATAATAAATACACACTACCCTTTAAAACAGATGTGGAGGTATATCAACAAAGCTGAAACAGTATCACATTTGAGATAAGACACGACTGGTTTCATAAACTGGAATACAAATGCAGGAAAACTCCAGTCTATCTCTTACCTGGCCCTATCCATGCAGTCACTTCAATCTGCATCCCAAAGAAAAGCTTTCCTTTTGATGCAGTCAGTGCTTTTTCTTGGTCCTCTTGCTGTCGAAAGAATACCAGACCATACCTCTCTTCTGAAGTGCCATGTATCTGCACTGAAGTCACCTTTCCAAATTTCTTAAATTCATGGAAAAGACCATCCTTAAGGCTTGTATCTAAATCCCCAAATAAAAACAAAATACTTATTCTTCTAATTTGGTTACAACTCAATAAGCAAGCTACTAAATCTTTAGCCTGCTTTTTGATCTAAGTTGTGTTAGTACATTTTTAAAACAAAGTTAACACTAAAAAGACATATGGAGACTATTGTACAATTCAGGAAACAGACGGTATTAGAAGATGTCAGTGGTTATTTTAAGTAAGAATGGTACTCTGGTTATACAGGGAAACGTCTCTGCATTTTATAGATATATACAGAAAATGGAGTCCTGCTGTGGCACTGGACCACAAGGTCTGTTTGAACTGCAAGTTGGGTGGTTCGAATCCACCAGTCACTTCTTGGAAACCCTATATAGGGTGGATGTGAATCAGAACCAGAGTGGATGTGAGTCAGAACCAACTCAGCAGCAAGTTAACAGCCATACAGAAAATATATTAATATGAAATGACATACATAACATGTGGAATTCACTGCAAGATTTAAAAAAACAAACAAAAAAAGGAACAGCAAACTGATACAATTTGATGAACTTGACCTACACCTATGGATGCAGTAGCTCAATAGCGGGAACAAATCTTTACAGTGATGATCATTCCCACCCACTCCATACACTGAGTAGACAGGAATGGGCAACTTGGACATTGGCTACCCAAAGTGGGGGGGGCTACAAAGGCAAGAAGTGACTTTACAAGCTTTCAAGAGGAAACCTAGATCCGGAGGGTATGGAGGAAGGCAGAATCTCCACTGAGTAGTATCCAATCTGTCTAGGCGGGGCTGATGAAAGGAAATGCAGATAGGGCTCTTGTGATACAATAGTGAATAATTGTTATCAGGACTGATTGTAAGGGTTGGAAATGTAAAGGTAGACATTTTGTAGTAAAAGGAGGGGAGTGATTAACTTTTTAGTTTAGAAGCAGAGGTCCCTAGGACCATCAAGGGAGAAGAGCGGAGAGCAAGGACCCTACCCAGAGAAGCAGTGACGCCAGAGATGGAGGCAGAGACGATGACATGGAGAGATGGAGCAGCTGGGGACTTTAGATCCAGAGAGGGAGAGGGGTTGTGTGCTGATGACAGGGGGGCAGGCTTGCAGGGTATATCCTTTGGTTGTTTGATGATGCGTGGAGGGGATTATAACCATGGCAATGAAGCGATACACGATAGGATGAATGTAAAACTATGTTCTCCCATGTAAACTATCACATAATTCACAATAAAACATTAAAAAAAAAGGAACAGCCAAGACAGAAGGTAGCAGACAGATGAAACAAATGTGGCAAAAAACATTGAGAATTTTTGAGGTTGGAGTATGGTTCCTTTCAACTTCAGGGTAGTTTAAAGCTTTCAAACAAAAATTTTTTACGTATGTTGTTGTTAAGTGGTGCTGAGTAGGTTCCGACCCATAGTGACCCTGTATAGGGTTTCCGAGGAGCAGCTGGTGAGCTTGAACCACCAACTTTGGGGTTCAAAGTGACTTTGCAGTCCAGTACATTAACCCATAGTGCCACACCAGGACTCCATATATATATGTGTGTGTGTGTGTGTGTGTGTGTGTGTGTGTATAGTTGTGGTTGTTAGGCACGTTAGGTCAGTTTCAACTCAGAGCAACCCTATTTACAACGACCCCCTCCTGTGTCATTCTCACAACTGTTATGTTTGAGACCATTGTTGCAGCCACTGTGTCAATCCATCTACTTGAGGGTCTTCAACTTTTTCGCTGACATTTTTACTTTACTGAACATGATGTCCTTTTACAGGGACTGGTCTCTCCTGATAACATGTCGAAAGTAAATGAGACAGTCTCACCATCCTCACTTCTAAAGAACATTCTAGCTGTACTTCTTCCAACACAGATTTTGTTCATTCTTCTGGAGGTCCGTGGTATATTTAAAATTCTTCACCAACACTGTAACACAAATGCCTCAATTCTTCTTTGATCTTCCTTATTCACTGTCCAATTTTCATTGTAGTGAGGCAATTCAAAATACCATGGCTTGGGTCAGGCACATCTTTAGTCTTCAAAGTGACCTTTGCTTTTTAACATTTTAGAGAACTTTTACAGCAAATTTGCCCAATGCAGCATGTCATTTGTTTTCTTGAAAACAACAAAATGAAGAGTCAGCCTTTAAACAGGAAGAAATTTGGGAGGAGCTATAGAAATTTGGGAGGAGCTCTGGTAGCACAGTGGTAATGAATTGGGCTGTGAGCCGCAAGGTCAGCAGTTCAAAACTACCAGCTGTTCCGTGGGAGAAAGATAAGGCTTTCTGCTCCCATAAAGATCTACAGCCTCGGAAACCCTATGCAGGGTCGCTATGAGTCGGAACCGACTCCATGGCACATAACAACAACAACATATATATGATGGACTCCTGAAGTGGCACTGTAGGATCATCCCTGGACTGCAAACCACAAGGTTGGCAGTTCAAACCCACCAGCTTACACAGGGTTACTTTCAGTCAGAACCAACTTGATGGCATTTAAAAACAATGTTTCCACAGGCACTGATTGTGGACTCAAGCATAACAAATTCCTTGGCAACTTCAATATTTTCACCATTTATCCTGATGTTGAAGTCCTGGTGTGGTGCTGTCTGAACTGCAAGGTAAGCGGTTCAAGCACACCAGCATCCCCTAGGAAACCTTATACACCATCGCTATGGATGGGAACCCATGCAACGGCACTTAACAAAACATCATGATGTTGCTTACTGGTTCAGTTTTGAGGATTTTTGTTTTCTTTTCTTTAGATATACATATTTTTAAAAACTTGAGAAGGAAAACTAGAATTTCCATGGCATGTAATATGTTAACTTTTACAGATGCTCATACCATCTGGGAGTCAAATTGCTTTATTATAAAAGGCACACAGAAAAGCAAGTCAATTTTAACCCCTTGCCTATTTCTAATTTATTAAGTAATCAAAATCAACAATAAAGCAATACTTATATCTCATTATCTCTATTCACAAAACTAAGTTTCATAGGCTGTTTTAAGAAATAATTCTAGCTGTAACTGAAATGAACTTAGCTGAGAAATATGTAAATGTTTTTTGTGGATTTGATCATCTGTACTTTTAACTACTGATATGCTTCATGGGCCTATGTTGTAACAGTGGTATATCATGAACTGTCAGAATTATCAAGAGTAAGGAGAAACTAAAGTGTAGCTTTTAACAAGACTTTTCCATTATTCATTGCTTCTCTCATTTAAAATGTTAACAAGCTTCAATATGGATAGTACCTCAATGTTAAGAAAATGAAAATCCTCACAATGGAACCAATTAATAACATCATTACAAATGGAGAAAAGACTGAAGTTGACAAATAACTTCATTTTCCTTAGATCCATACACAATGCTCATGGAAACAGCAGTCAAGAAATCAAACAGCATATTGTATTAGGCAAATCTGCTGCACAAGACCTCTTTAAAGTGTTTAAGAGCAAAGATTTCACTTTGAGTACTAAGGTGCACTTGACCCAAGCCATGGCATTTTCAATCACCTCATATACATGTGAAGGTTGGACAATGAATAAGGATTATCAGAGAAGAATCGATAAATTTGAATTCCGGCGTTGCTGAAGAATACTGAAAGTAACATGGACTGCCGGAAGAACAAACAAATCTGACTTGGAAGAATTACAGTCAGAGTGTTCTTTAGAAGCGAGGATGGTGAGACTTCTCTAATACCTTGGACATGTGGCCAGGAGGATCAGTCCCTGGAAAAGGACATCATGCTTGGTAAAGTGGGAGGTCAGCAAAAAGGAAGAACCCCACCAAGATGGATTGACACAGTGGCAACAACAGCAAACTCAAACCTAACAATTGTGAGGCTGATGCAGGACCAGGCAGTGTTTGTTGTTTGTAATGCACAGGGTCACTATGAGTCAGAAGCAACACAACAGCACCTAACAAGAAAACAGGTTCATCATACCAAATTTCCCCCAGTACCAAAATATTTACTCTAGAAAGTAGGTTTATTAAAAAATAAACAATGTATTCTCTATATGCCATCCATCATGCAATCTTCATTATGTATGCACCCACACACACACACACACAAATATACACATAAATCCACCTTCAATCTTTACATACTATGTCTAAGAGTAACAGTCTAGAAGTTAAACTATAGAAACTTATAATACTAATATGCTTTTTTCCTACATGGCACTATAAATGTCAATGAAACACAAAGAGGAAACATATTTTCATTGTAAAGTATAGAAATTTCAAGTCGCTCAGCCTATCTCATTTTTCAATAGAGGCTGAGAGGAAGGCACAGTTTCATAAAATTTTACCTGTGGAGCGTACTGGAAGATTCTGAACCTTGATCCCAAAACTTTTACGGGGTTCATCTTTTTCCAGAGATGAAAGCAACTGGGAAGTGGGGGCTGGGACTGCTGCAGATTGAACTGACCGGGCTGGAGAGTCATCACTTGAAGTACTGCTGGAATCACTGCTGCAGGAGGGTAAAAGCAAACTTTCAGAAAAAGACAGATATCAAATGGGCAGCAAATCAAACTCCTTCAGACTGAAGAGTGGCAATTAATAGATTTAAATACTACTCCTGAGATTTCTGGAAACCCTACTTTCTACGTATCTAGCTCATCAAAAATGACCAAAAGATAGCAAAACCTGACCTCAGAATAGGGAAATAAAAGTAACATTCATTTATCACTACATGCCATCTAAATGCAAGTATTGTGTTCGATGCACTGTCTGAACAATTTTCTAAACATGAAATAAAACTATGAATGCAATTTACTTAGTGTAATAATAACAGAATCATGGATATGGGTTTGCAATTCAGAGATCTTGGTACAAATTCTCCTTTAGACATATAACATATAGCAAGTATACTTGGATGAGTCATTTAACTTCTTGCTAAGCTTTTCAGTTTCTACATCTGTAAAATGGGATTAACAATAGGACATACATCAAAGAAACAAATGAATAAGAGAAACCCACAGGTTTACAAAGTTTAGAATATGACAGGCATTCAATACACAAAGCAGCACACTTGTGTTACTATTACACTTGTGTGGTACGTTTGTACATGTAATTTTTAGAAGAACTTAAATATCCAAAACAATTTACCAGGTCATTTTCATTTTAAAACTTTAAAAGGACTAAATAACAACAAAAACAAAATACTGCTGTCAAGATAATTTCAAGTCATATAGTGACCCAGTAAGACGAGAGTATAATTGCCCATAGGAATTCCAGAGCTGTAAATCTTTCCAGCAGCAGACTGCTGCAGGGAGCGACTGGTGAGTTAAAATCTCCAACCTTTTAGTAAGCAGCCAAGTAATTAGGCACTGTACCACCAAGGCTCCTTTTGGAAGGACTAATGAAGAAATATTATGTAAGTTACTTGAGACTTGCTAGTTTAGCCTCTTTTTGCTGTGGATATTGTGGGAACTAAGAGTCAATGAAGTGGAATTTATTGCTCTCCAGTTTAATAAAACTCTCAAAAGTAAGACAGTCAATAAAAAGATAAGAAAGATAAATGTTACAAATTTAATCAGATTAACAGAGGGGTATATAGAGGCCCAGAGTCCTGGTGTGGTTGTAAGATAAACACTAGACTGCTAACCTCAAGGTTGGTGGTTCAAAACCACCAGTGGCTCCTCAGAAACCCCATACAGGGTCGCTATGAGTCAGAACTGACTCGACAGCACTTAATAACAAAATACAGGGGGCCCAGATGGTGCAGTGGATTAAACGTTGGGCTGCTAATTGAAAGGTCAGTGTTTGAACCCACCAGTCACTCTGAGGGAAAAAGATAAAGCAGTCTGCTCCTGTAAAGATTCTCCTCTATTCTATAAAGTCACTATGACTTGGAGCAGTGGAGTTTGGTTCGCATTTAATATATTCATTATATGTAGTATGCCTAGAAAGCATGTGATAAACATAAAATTTTATTTTCTGTAAGGGACATGTAAAAAACTGCTGTAATTTTAAGTTCTTATGTATTTTAAGCATTCTTAAAATATTCATAAAAGGATATTTACATTTTTATTAATAAAAATTGGTGCTATTATTTTTTCTAAAATTTTGTTTCATACTCCTATCTTTTAAGCAAATAACTCTGAAGGATGACAAGCCACCTTAAACACACTCACTAGAAGCAAAGATACAGGGTCATTTTTGTCGTTTGACTTAAAACACTATAGATCTTGTATCCAGGATAATCACTAACACTGCTAGACAAATCAGTAGAGGCAGAGGTTTTGAGACAAATGTGCTATTCCTTTTTTTTTTTTAAAGAAACACAAAAACAGGATGCTACAACTATGGATTTGCACAACAGTTTTATTTGGCTGTCACATGCTAACAAAAGAGGAAAACTTCATGAGGTTATTATTAGAGCTTTCTGCAGTTAGAAATGTAGATAAATAAACCTACATCACTAAGAGTCAACTAGAGGTGGCTGAGCTACAAAATACAAACTGCTAGGGATAAAACCTTGAAATAGAAGCACAAGTCATCATTGCCAGGCCTCATAAATAACTGGGTTTCAATTTTCCTAGCTATAAGAAGAATTTTTTCCCCTTGGTCATCCATTAAAATTAGTATCACCAGTACTAAGTAAATTACAGTATCTTGAATGGATGCTAATCTTCCTTGAAAGTAAAGGTAAACAAAATTGATCTTTTGTTTTTGACTCAGAAGGCCCATATGTTGGGGGAAAATGTTTGTTGTATGTATGAAATACTCAAAACAACTTAAGATTAATTCACAAGATCACCAGATGGCTACTGAGTAATCATTATGTAACTTTATCAACTTAGTAACTTCTAAAGAATCATGAAGTAACCATTAAGAAAAATATTTTAATTATAAAACTACCAATATTAAACAAACCTAAGTTCCTTAGCAGTAAACGGGTAAAGAAGTAAACAAACATGAGTAAGAATGGAATTTCTGGCTATTGAAATAATTAATGAGCCAACAAAAATAAAATTCTATATGCTAAAAAAGTATTAATAAAAGGAAGAGGAAGATGAGCAACCAGTGGTAAAAATGATTTTAAAATAAAGTACAAAATAGTGATTGAAATCAGATTTGCTATAAATGTGATCACTGTCTTTTGATGAGTGCCGTGCTACTATACTGTTTTGAAACAAGATGTAGAACTCAACTGGAAAAATTATCTGTTGACACATGTGAATGGAAAGGGGAAAGTTTATTAATGAATTATCATATGATATATGTTGAGTTCCTATTTTGATATACTAACTTAAACTGCAGAGTATGTCTCCAGTACAGTACAGAAAATATGCTATGAATTTAAAGATTCTGAACCAAATTGGGCACAACTTCAGACCTTCAAATGTACTAAAACTGACAGAAATAAGTTCAGATGCCCAAAACATGTGTCAATTTTAACTTTAAAAATGTTTCTAAGGAGTCCTGGTAGGGTGCTGTGGGTTAATGCGCTGGACTGCAAAATCGATTAATTGCAAGGCTGGTGGTTCAAGCTCACAGGCTGCTCCTCGGAAACCCTATACAGGGTTGCTGTGGGTCAGAACCAATTTGACGGCACTTAACAACAACAACATACTTGGTTAAAACTGAAGAATCACAACAGTTCATTAAAGCACATGATATATAATATTCAGTTGTTTCTTCCTCTACCTGTCAGTTTGTCTTATGGTACTGGCTTGCCTGTTGCCACAAGGCTGGAAGCTATGCCACTGCTATTTCAAATACCAGCAAGATCACCCAAGGTGGAAAGGTTTTGGCAGCACTTCCAGACTAAGACAGACCAGCAAGAAAGGTCAGGAGATCTACTTCTGAAAATTAGCCAATGTAAACCCTATAGCTCACAACAGAACACTGTCGATACAGTGATAGAAAATGAGTCCCCTAGATTGGAAAGCACTCAAAACACAAGCAACCACAACAGACTCAAGCATCCAAGCAATTACTAAGCAGGACTGGAAACATTTCGTTCTTTTATATAGTAAGAACATCTAATCAGCAGCTAACAATGAGAGCTGCTTCTTAAAAGCAGAGGATTTGGTTAATCAGAAGCTATTCCAATCACAGTTGCCTTAAAGTAGTAGCAATAAGGGTGTACAAGACTAATAGTTTCAAGAGAGTAGGCTTTAAATTTACATGGGCACACTAATATTACATTTTAATACCAATTAAGAATAGCATTTTTTTTAAAGTACCTTTTCAAATGGAAAGAAACATACAAAAGAAATGTCATTAACTTTTTTTTTCTAAGCATACAATTATATTTGCTTATAATTTACTAAGAAAACTAAGATGTAGATCTGATCAAAATTTCCATAATGGAGAAATATCTGAACAGGCAATTGACTAAATAACAATTCTTGATAAGCAAACAAACTATGGGATGCCAGCATGCTCTTTAGACCAAATCATGGTGTCAGATAATATACCATTCCTGTTCAGACAAGCATTTTATAGAAAGAACAACAGTGAATATTTGACACTGAAAAACTCAAGGCACTGGGTCTTCTATTTATAAGATTACTTAGAGCTAAATTTGTTCACTCAATAACAGCCAATGACTGACTTCTATATTATGTATTCTTGTACTATTTGTAAACATTTGATTGTTAAATATGAATCTATGTTGGGTTTTATTAAAAGCTAGAAAATTTACAAGCATTTAACCAGATTAATTTGCTATACAAAAATTTGGCATTAGTGGATTTTTAAAATAAGAGCAATTAAAGTGAACAGAAAACTGCAATTTAAAAAACTAACAAAACTCATTTGCTAAAAGCAGACATAATCTCAAGTGACAATTTTCAAAGACCAGTCTTCAGCTAATCATTTTTTTCTCTCTGCAGAATTCTTATGTAAACTTGGGTCATGAGGAAAAATATGAAAAATGAAGGGTTTCCACCAGAACTTAAAACACACAATTTAAAATATGTGCACTGTCCTTTGTGTTTTTCCCAGATGAAGGAGGTAAAACAAACAAATAAAACTTCTTTCTGTGTAAATCTTGAATGGAATGCATCATCACACCAGATCTTAATTCCTCTGTCTGTATCCTATTTTTTACAAGTCTAAATTCCAAGATGATCTTATCTTTGTAGTGCAGCAATTCTCCAGGTGTGAGGTCCTCCCTTATTTCACCCACATGCTTGTGTAAGTCTGTCTTCATATATCTCCAAAAAACAGCACAGATTAAGTGTAGAAGTAGATATCAAAATCTAGCTGTTTTATTACCAAAAACCTGATGTTGTCATGTTGATTCCTACTCATGGAGACCCCATGAGTTTCAGAGAACTGTCCTTACTAGGATTTTCAATGACTGTGACCTTTTGGAAACAGACTACCAAGCCTTGCTTCTTAGGTACCTCTGAGTGGATCTGACCATCAACCATGTTGTAGCCAAGTGTTTAAGTGTTTATTAGTAAACATTCTACAGTGCACAGGTCAGTCCCTATAATAAAAACTATTTGGACA